ACCCTAAACCCTAAACCCCTAAACCCTAAACCCTAAACCCTAAACCCTAAACCCTAAACCCTAAACCCTAAACCCATTCCTGCTCCACGCAGAGTCACCCGTTCTACTTCTTCGCGTTCCCAATGATGATGCGGTTCCTAGTTTGGAATGTGAGGAGCATCACCTCACACGATGTCCTTTCTAAGCTTCGAATTTTACTCAAACAGCACACTCCAGTGTTGTTAGGTATTTTGGAGCCTATGAAGGCACCCTCGCAGATTGACTATTATAGGACGCTGTTGGGTTTCACGGGGGCTAGGTGTGGTGTTGATGACCAAATCTGGCTCTTTTGGAACTTTGACATTGCACCGTCCATTCATTTTATTTCCCATTTTGCACAGTCACTAACCTTTTCTTTTTCTCATCCTTCTTTTCCTAACCCTCTTTGGTTGTCAGTGGTTTATGCTAAATGTAAGTACAGGGACAGGGAGCCGTTGTGGGAATATCTTTGAGAGACACACGCCACTCTCCCGGCTGACATGGCATGGGGGGTGGTGGGTGACTTCAACTGTCTGCTTGATCCCTCAGAGAAGAAAGGTGGCCGACCATATGCTCCAGTCAAATTTTGGCCTTTTGTTGAATGCGTGGAGGATTGTGAACTGGTAGATTCTCCATTCACTGGGGAGGATTATACCTGGTTCAACAATCGAGTGGGCGGCGTGGAGATTCGGAGCCGGATTGACCGATTGCTGTTTAACCAGCCGTGGATGGATATGTTCTCTTGTTTGGTGCATCACTTGGACAGGGTGGGATCTGATCATGCCCCACTATTGGTGGAGTGTAAGTCTCATGAGCGTCCTCCTGCTCGGCCTTTCACGTTCCTTAATGTCTGGACAGAGCACGAGGATTTTCAGAGAGTGGTGGCGGACTCTTGGCGGGAGGACATTGCTGAGGGTCCCATGTTTGTATTTGGCGCTAAGCTCAAGCGTCTGGCACATAGCTTGAAGAGGTGGAACCGTAATACTTTCGGTCACATCTTTGACAAGCTTAAGGCGCTTGAGCAGGATGTTCGGGACATAGAGCTACAGTTGCAGACAGATCCTTCGGATGAGACCTACATTGAGTTCAAGCGGCGCTCGGCACTTTTGAAGCGCCAGTATCGTATCGAAGATGAGTTTTGGCAGCAGAAAGCCCATGCGAAATGGGTGACGGACGGGGAGAGGAACTCTGGGTACTTTCACTCTGTAGTGAAGGACCGCCGGCGGAAGCTTTACATTCACCGCATACAGGATGATCGTGGGTAGTGGGTCACGGAGAGAGTTGCGATTTCGACGCAGGCGATCACCTTTTTTCAGGCCATGTTCACTGCAGATTCTAGTGTCACATCCTCGGCCTTAGATATGATTCCACGGCTGGTCACTCATGATGATAATGACCGGTTATGCGCTGTTCCGGAGATGGAGGAGGTTAAGATTGCGGTCTTTGCTATGGATTCTCGGAGTGCGGCGGGACCCGATGGCTTTACTGGGGCTTTCTATAAGGCTGCTTGGACGATCATTTGTATGGATCTTCTGGCGATGGTGCAGGCCTTTTTCTTGGGCCACGATCTGACTCGCTCCCTCACGCACACTTCTATTGTTTTGTTGCCCAAGAAGCCCAATCCTGTGACTTTTTCGGACTTCAGACCCATCAGTTTGTGTAATTACTGCAAGAAGATCATCACGAAGATTATGGTGGTTCGCTTGTCTTCTGTGCTCCCTTGTTTGTTGTCCCCGCATCAGAGTGGGTTTGTGGCGGGGCGATCTATCACTGATAATATTCTTTTGGCCCAAGATATGTGTCACGGGATGCGGGTGGACAATGAAGATCTCATTCTGAAGCTGGATATGATGAAGGCCTATGATCGGGTCTCTTGGTACTTCTTGATGTCAGTACTGCGCCGATTTGGATTTTCGGAGACTTGGATCGATCTGGTTTATCGGGCCATTTTGAATATTTGGTACTCTGTCATTATTAATGGGATTCGAGAGGGCTTTTTTCACTCGACGAGGGGCTTGCAGCAGGGGGACCCACTCTCACCGTCCTTGTTCATTCTATCAGCAGAGGTCCTCTCTCGCTCTTTGGCTCAGCTGTATACAGATCCTATAGTTGCTCGGTTCACACAGCCCCGTGATGCACCGCATATCCATCATCTTCCATACGCCGACGACATTGTCATCTTCACTTCGGCGAGGGGGGACACTTTGGGGAGAGTTCGAGCAGTTTTACATTCTTATGAGCAAATTTCAGGTCAGGCTGTCAGCTTCCCTAAGAGTGCTTTCTATATGCATCCTAAGGCGTTGGTACCCATGTTGGAGCGTGTTCGAGATACTCTTGGGTGTTCATTGGATGTGCTTCCATTCACTTATCTTGGTTGTCCTATTTATCATGGCCGGAAGCGCATTCATTACTTTGAGCCTGTTCTGAAGAAGATGCGGGACAAGTGTTGTGCGTGGATGGGGCGTTATCTTTCTCCGGGGGAAGGCTATTATGATTAAGAGTGTTCTTCAGGCGATCCCGACACACTTGCTCGCTGCACACTTTCCTCCCAAGACAGTGATTCGAGAGATGGGGTCTATCATGGCACGATTTTTTTGGTCTGGCTTGGGAGGGACACGACGTTATCATTGGGGATCTTGGAAGACTCTGGCTTGGCTGACGAGAGAGGGTGGGGTCGGCTTCCTTGATTTTAAGACTTTGGCTAAGTCTTGTTCGGCCAAGCTCTGGTGGAATCTTAGAACACAGGACACTATCTGGACGACATTCATGAGGGCTAAGTACTGTAGCCGCGTCCATCCTGTGTCCAAGCAGCGCATTGATGATGATTCTCACACATGGAAGCGCATGCTGGATGTTCGGGCTGTGGTTGAGCCTATGATTCGATGGCGTGTACTTTCTGGCACGTCTAATTTTTGGTGGGATACATGGTCTGGTCTTGGTGCCTTGCATCGTCAGGTGGACGGCTGTAGTGGATATTGGACTGATGGAGTGGGCGATATGTATCGCTCTGATTTTATGATTGACCATGATGCGCTGCCCCCTGATCTCATACGGCAGTTTTGTCTTGAGCCGCCATCTCTTGTTTCTGATCATGCGGATACTCCGGTCTGGACCCCGTCTATGGACGGGAAGTTCACTCTTGCTTCTGCTAAGGAGCTTCTTAGACCGAGGAGGGACGATGAGGTGGAGGACACTGTGCTTAAGAGGTGCTGGCAAAAGCACCTACCCTATAAGATGTCCTTTCTAGCGTGGCGCGTGCTGACGCAGCGCCTTCCCACTGATGATGTCCTGGCGAGATTTGGCTTTGCTTTGCCCTCTCAGTTCTTTTGTTGTTCGCCGCCAGGGCGAGAGTCCATAGCACATATTTTCTATCATGGGAGCATGGCGCGGCGTGTTTGGACCTATTTCATAGAGTCTGCCCGCATTCAGGGCACACATCATAGTTTGAGGTCCACCTTGAGTATATGGTGGGCGCAGGAGCCGAAGACCAGGATGCTCTCGTTCCTATTCCACCGCCTACCGACGATCATTCTTTGGGAGCTTTGGACGCACTATGCAGTGTGCAAGTATGGGGATGCTCGTCCCAACTTCGCACGCATTATCTTTCGGGTGGCTACGGCAGTGTCGGAGTGCATCTATCGTCGCTGGCCTAGCGGAGGTCTCTTGCCTCCCAGATGGTCGGTGAGCATGGAGCACGTTCGACGGGGTTCTGGGCGTAGGAGGGTGGTGCCTATCCGGTGGGTCCCACCCCCGATTGGCACCATTAAGGTGAACGTGGCGAGGGCTCCCCTCCGTGGTGCTTATGCGGCGATCGTCCGGGATTCGGCAGGTAAGTTTCTTTATGCTCTCTCTTCCATTGCATTTAGGTGGGATCCAGTGGAACGTGGAGGGATGGATATGATTTTTCGGTGTATTCAGTGGTGCATATCTCAGTCCCTCTTGCGTATCCACGTGGAGTCACATCACTCTGAGTTAGCCTGTTTCTTTAGAGAGGGTACCCCGTGGTACCTTCATGATGTTCATGCTAGGCTGCGTTTCCTCTGTTCTATCGCGACGGTTCAATGGTTTGAATGTGATCTTCGGGCGAATGGCCCGGCATGTGAGTTGGCGTTGTGGGCCGTGGATAGCACAGAGGGGACGCGGGAGTTTACTAATCTGCAGGATCTTGATATTCGGGTACGATCTCTCTTTCCTATGGAAGATCTGCCTTTCTTTCACACGGATGAGGATGGGGGTAACCCCTAGTTGCACAGATTTGGGTGCCTTAATGACCGCGTCTGCGATTAAGAGGCGCACATATGTACCCGCGGTTAAAGGGTGCCCGTTGGTTCCCGCGGTTTGGGGCCACGCGTTGTACTGACGGTGAACGGTGCCTCTGCGAGATGACGGGCGTAGTCTCGTAGAGTTTCTTTCGTTCCCGTCGACTCCTGCGGCTCTTGGGGTACGTAGGCGCTAGCGTCTGAGGTTTTTAGCGCCCGTAGTTGCCAGCGGTATTTGGCATCCTAGCCCGGGCAGAGGTGGCTGTCGGATAAAGGCTTTTTCCATCTCGCACTTCATCTGAGTGCCTTAACGACCGCGCTTGCGGTCAAAAGGCGCACGTATGCGTTCGTGGTAAAGGATGCCCGTCAGTGCTTGCGGATTGAGGATTTGAGCACCCGTGGCGCACACGGAAAGTGCGTATGCGTGGTACCGTCATCAAATCGGTGCCCTCGTCGGGAGGCTAGGTGGGGCCCGGCGAGGTTTCTTCCGCCTGCATCAGTGCTTGCGCGTGAGGTTAGAGCACCCGCTATCTGTCGGCGGTAATGGGCTAAGGGTTGGCCACTGACCCATAGTGGTACCTCTCTCTTTTCCTTTCTTTTCCTATCCTTTTGGACTTCATTGCTTGGATCATTCTTCTCACATTTTATCACTTGGATCATTGGACTACATGGGATTTCTTTTGGATTTCATTTGGATCACACATCTTGGATTTGGGTATTATCAGTGGACTGCATTTGAGATTGGGCCGTCTCTATTCGGCTGGGCTCCTTTGGGTTAGCGCTGGATTTGGCATATTGGTGGCTGGGCTTGTACGGGCTGCTAGGCTGGAGCATTGCGCCTGGCGGATTGGGCTATTGGACCTGGCGGCTTTTGCTGGGTTTGGGCTGCATTATTTGGGCGTTGGGCTGGCTGGATGGGCGCTGGTCACGGGTTGGGCTAGTGTCATTGATTTGGGCTGGCTTCATTCTTGCATGCATGCCTTTCGAGATTGGGCTTCATCATGGTTTGGGGCTCCTCAGTTATGGGCTCTTCTTGGTTCACTTGGATTATTTTTGCACATATTATTTTATTTATTCTTTAGTTGGGCTTTTTGGTTTTTAGACTAGACTTATGTCGATTGCATTTCTTGGCTCATGACTTTTTTCTTGATCTGGATTATCTGACCTTAGGCCTTACCCTTGCGGGGGTTGGGGCTCCGGGAATGAATTTATTCCTAGATCTAATAGTAAAATGTTGTGGGCCGGCTTTGTAGTTGTACTTAAGTCTATGTTCTCCTTATCCGATAAGCTCTTCACATTATAGTTCTTTGGTTGTTGCTTACTTTTATACAAGTGTGGAGCTTGTTCCCGCTTGTTCAGACGTTTGTATTCTTTGATTATTTAATAAAACGCGTTTTTCTTAATAAAAAAAACCTAAACCCTAAACCCTAAACCCTAAATCTCGAGGTCTCGAGGCCAAAATTAAAAAAAATTATAATTTAAACATTACTAACAAGTATTTTTGACATGAAACTTTTACAAGGGATTTTACATGCAAATATAATAATCCATGTCAAATTTAGCAAGTTTTTTGAGGAATTTAAAATTTGCCCAAAAAATGTGATGGTACCACATATCTCAACGCCAAAACTAAAAAAATTATAATTTAGACATTACTGACAAGTCGTTTTGTTATGAAACTTTAATAAAGAATTTTACATGCATATATAAATATCCATGTCAAATTTGGCACGTTTTTTGATGAATTTAAAATTTGGCCAAAAAATGTGATGGTACCCCTAGAGCTCGAGGCCAAAACTAAAAAAATTATAATTTAGACATTGCTGACAAGTCGTTTTGTTATGAAACTTTAATATATAATTTTACATGCATATATAAATATCCATGTCAAATTTGTGCACGTTTTTTGATAAATTTAAAATTTGGCCAAAAAATGTGATGGTATCCCTAGAGCTCAAGGCCAAAACTAAAAAAATTATAATTTAGACATTGCTGACAAGTCTTTTTGACAAGAAACTTTTACAAAAGATTTTACATGCAAATAGAAATAACCGTGTCAAATTTGGATAATTTTTTTATGAATTTAAAATTTGGCAAAAAAAAATGTGATGGTCCCCTAGAACTCGAGGCCAAAACTAAAAAAATTATAATTTAGACATTACTGATGAGTTGTTTTGACATGAAACTTTTATATAATGATTTTACATGCAAATATAAATATCCATGTCAAATTTAGCAAGTTTTTTGATGAATTTAAAATTTGGCCAAAAAATGTGATGGTACCTTCAGAGCTCGAGACCAAAACTAAAAAAGTTATAATTTCGACATTATTGACAACTCTTTTATACATTAAACTTTTACAAAGGATTTTACATGCAAATATAAATTTCCATGTCAAATTTGCCGAATTTTTTGATGAATTTAAAATTTGGCTAAAAAATGTGATGGTACCCCTAGAGCTCGAGGCCAAAATTAAAAAAATTATAATTTAAACATTACAGACAAGTATTTTTGACATGAAACTTTTAAAAAAGATTTAACATGCAAATATAAATATCCATGTCAAATTTAGCAAGTTTTTTGATGAATTTAAAATTTGGCCAAAAAATGTGATGGTACCACATATATCGAGGCCAAAACTAAAAAAACTATAATTTAGACATTACTGACAAGTCGTTTTATTATGAAACTTTAAGAAAGAAATTTACATTAATATATAAATATCCATGTCAAATTTGGCACGTTTTTTGTTGAATTTAAAATTTGGCCAAAAAATGTGATGGTACCCCTAGAGCTTGAGGCCAAAACTAAAAAAATTAAAATTTAGACATTGCTAACAAGTATTTTTGACATGAAACTTTTACAAAGGCTTTTACATGCAAATATAAATATCCGTGTCAAATTTGGATAATTTTTTGATGAATTTAAAATTTGGCCAAAAAATGTGATGGTACCCCTAGAGCTCGAGGCCAAAACTAAAAAAATTATAATTTAGACATTGCTCACAAGTCTTTTTGACATTAAACTTTTACAAAGGATTTTACATGCAAATATAAATATCCATGTCAAATTTGGTAAATTTTTTAATGCATTTAAAATTTAGCCAAAAAATGTGATGTTACCCCTAGAGCTCGAGGCCAAAACCAAAATAATTATAATTTCGACATTACTGACAACTCTTTTATAAATTAAACTTTTACAAAGGATTTTACATGCAAATATAAATTTCCATGTCAAGTTTGGCGAATTTTTTGATGAATTTAAAATTTGGCTAAAAAATGTGATAGTACCCCTAGAGCTCGAGGCCAAAATTTAAAAAATCATAATTTAAACATTACTGACAAGTATTTTTGACATGAAACTTTTAAAAAGGATTTAACATGCAAATATAAATATCCATGTCAAATTTAGCATGTTTTTTGATGAATTTAAAATTTGGCCAAAAAATGTGATGGTACCCCATATATCGAAGCCAAAACTAAAAAAATTATAATTTAGACATTACTGACAAGTCGTTTTGTTATTAAATTTTAAGAAAAAATTTTACATGCATATATAAATATCCATGTCAAATTTGGCACGTTTTTTTATGAATGTTAAATTTGGCCAAAAAAAGTGATGGTACCCCTAGAGCTCGAGGCCAAAACTAAAAAAATTAAAATTTAGACATTGCTGACAAGTCTTTTTAACATGAAACTTTTACAAAGGCTTTTACGTACAAATATAAATATCCATGTCAAATTTGGATAATTTTTTGATGAATTTAAAATTTGGCCAAAAAATGTGATGGTACCCCTAGAGCTCGAGCCCAAAACTAAAAAAAATGAACTTTTGACATTACCGACAAGTCTTTTTGACATTAAACTTTTACAAAGGATTTTACATGCAAATATAAATATCCCTGTCAAATTTGGTAAATTTTTTAATGCATTTAAAATTTAGCCAAAAAATGTGATGTTACCCCTAGAGCTCGAGGCCAAAACAAAAAAATTATAATTTCGACATTACTGACAACTCTTTTATACATTAAACTTTTACAAAGGATTTTACATGCAAATATAAATTTCCATGTCAAATTTGGCGAATTTTTTGATGAATTTAAAATTTGGCTAAAAAATGTGATGGTACCCCTAGAGCTCGAGGCCAAAATTAAAAAAATTATAATTTAAACATTACTGACAAGTATTTTTGACATGAAACTTTTAAAAAGGATTTAACATGCAAATGTAAATACCCAGGTCAAATTTAGCAAGTTTTTTGATGAATTTAAAATTTGGCCAAAAAATGTGATGGTACACCATATATCGAGGCCAAAACTAGAAAAATTATAATTTAGACATTACTGACAAGTCGTTTTGTTATGAATTTTTAATAAAGAATTTTACATGCATATATAAATATCCATGTCAAATTTGGCACATTTTTGATGAATTTATAATTTGGCCAAAAAATGTGATGGTACCCCTAGAGCTCGAGGTCATAACTAAAAAATTAGTCCCTCCGTCCATGTATGATCTTCCCATTGCGCGTTACGAGGCTTGATCGACTTTATTTTCAATTCAATTTAATTGATTATAGGAGTAAAATTTTAAAATAAAATTTATATAGTAATAAACTACATGAAAAGTTCTACAAAACTAGAGGTGACAAGATTATATTATTTTATGAAATGACTAGTAAAATTGAGCAAACAAAGTGAGTAAAGTTTAACCCTGTGAATAGTGTCTGGGAAGATCTATATATGGTGGACAGAGAGAGTATAATTTAGACATTGCTGACAAGTCTTTTTGACAAGAAACTTTTACAAAGGATTTTATATGCAAATAGAAATATCCTTGTCAAATTTGGATTTTATATGCAAATAGAAATATCCTTGTCAAATGTGATGCTCCACTAGAGCTCGAGGCCAAAACTAAAAAAATTATATTTTAGACATTACTGACAAGTTATTTTGACATAAAACTTTTATATAATTATTTTACATGCAAATATAAATATCCATGTCAAATTTAGCAAGTTATTTGATGAATTTAAAATTTGGCCAAAAAATGTGATGGTACGTACCCCTAGAGCTCGAAGCCAAAACTAAAAAAGTTATAATTTCGACATTACTGACAACTCTTTTATACATTAAACTTTTACAAAGGATTTTGCATGCAAATATAAATTTCCATGTCAAATTTGGCGAATTTTTTGATGAATTTAAAATTTGGCTAAAAAATGTGATGGTACCCCTAGAGCTTGAGGCCAAAATTAAAAAAATTATAATTTAAACATTACTGACAAGTATTTTTGACATGAAACTTTTAAAAAGGATTTAAAATGCAAATTTAAATATCCATGTCAAATTTAGCATGTTTTTTGATGAATTTAAAATTTGGCCAAAAAATGTGATGGTACCCCATATATCGAGACCAAAACTAAAAAAATTATAATTTAGAAATTACTAACAAGTCGTTTTGTTATGAAACTTTAATAAAGAATTTTACATGCATATATAAATATCCATGTCAAATTTGGCACGTTTTTTGATGAATTTAAAATTTGGCCAAAAAATGTGATGGTACCCCTAGAGATCGACGCCAAAACTAAAAAAATTATAATTTAGACATTGCTGACAAGTCTTTTTGACAAGAAACTTTAATAAATAATTTTACATGCATATATAAATATCCATGTCAAATTTCGCACGTTTTTTGATGAATTTAAAATTTGGCCAAAAAATGTGATGGTACCCCTACAGCTCGAGGCCCAAACTAAAAAAATTATAATTTAGACATTGCTGACAAGTCGTTTTGTTATGAAACTTTAATAAATAATTTTACATGCATATATAACTATCCATGTCAAATTTGGCACGTTTTTTTATGAATTTAAAATTTGGCCAAAAAATGTGATGGTACCCCTAGAGCTCGACGCCAAAACTAAAAAAATTATAATTTAGACATTGCTGATAAGTCTTTTTGACAAGAAACTTTTACAAAGGATTTTACATGCAAATAGAAATATCCGTGTCAAATTTGGATAATTTTTTATGAATTTAAAATTTGGCAAAAAAATGTGATGGTCCCCTAGAGCTCGAGGCCAAAACTAAAAAAAAATTATAATTTAGACATTACTGACAAGTTGTTTTGACATGAAACTTTTATATAATGATTTTACATGAAAATATAAATATCCATGTTAAATTTAGCAAGTTTTTTGATGAATTTAAAATTTGG